CCTCTTTTGGCTCATTCTCCACAGCAGGAGGATTGCCAGCAGCGCATCCTCTTGTCCAATTCCAGCTTTGTCCTGCAGTCTGCTGGGCTCCAGTGTGGCTTCTGTCACTGGAAATAGGCTGCTCAGCTGGACAGCAAGCACCATGGTGTAGGCTTGGTCCTGGCATGAATGCACTTGCCTAAAATTTTTCTGCACTCAGGAGAAACACAGGTGTACTTTCATCCAAGCTGGCCAATGGGCTTGCAGCATGCTGAAAATTGTATGCACTTTCATTTCCTCCTGCCTCATTTTGGTCTGGAGAGGGTGAGCTGTTCAGAGCTTGCTATCGCTCTGGTTCAAGGTGTAACTCACTGTGACAACAGAGGTGGTGTGAGAGCACAGCCAGCAGCAGAGCACCAGCAAGCTCCAAGTAAGGCAGGTTGTGCTGGCACAGGCAGCAAGTACTTGGGGCATGACTTCGTGACTGCCTTCTGAAACGGATTAGGAAGCACATGGGCTTGGGAGATCTACATGATCTTGTTCATTCCCTGCCTTGTTTCCCTAAGCTGGCTTCTCTGTGTGCTGCAGGCTTTCCTGAACTCTTAATGTTCCTTTGCTGTTCTAAGCTGCTTACAAAGACAAGGGGATGAACCTAGAAACAGATGCTGCAAAGAGCAGAGAACTCTGTGAATTACTAATTAGGTTAATTTCCGAAGCACTCTGCTACCACTGTGAGCAACAGCCTTCATGGGAACAGAAGGCCTTACTCTGAGCTGCTACAGCAGAAAAAGGCAAGTCATGGGAGTTCTCGAAGAAAAATCAAAAATGTTTGGGTAGTTTCAAAGCAAGGTTACAGATAGCACAGCCACTCACAGTACGGTCACCTAGGAAAGCTGGGAGTAAGTTAATTAACAAAAAGAAACAGCATATTCTTCTGCATTGCCAGCCTAGGAGTGTTTGGTGAGGCCTGGAACAGCCCACCATAAGACTGTGCCTTTTGAAGCTTTCTGTTTTTAATAATAAATAATACACTAGAGGGCACACCAGCCCCTACTGGAGCACGGCGGTTATCCAGCCCATCATGCAGGGAAACACCCTTCTGCCACAGGAAGCTGAAATGAAGCGACTTACAAAGCTGAATTCGCAGTTAGCATTGAAAAAAAAGCCAACAGAATGGAGCAGGTAAGTGATTAACGTGGCACGGTGTGAGCAGCTGAGAGCAGCTTTGTACAAGATGCTCCCTGCATCAGTTACCAGCTCAGCCCTGCGAGGACGCACGCGTGGCTGCAGCAGGAAGCCTCTGTTCTATGCAGGGCACAGCAGCTTCTGTTACCCAAGTGCTGAGTTGTTATTCCAGTGCTTCACAACACGTTTCTCAGGATCTGGTTGTTAACAGGACTGGAAACAGAAGCAATTCAATGCAGCTTAACCAGTGACCAGGCTGAGGGAATGATTTCTGCAGTCATAAACACAGAAATAAGTGCTGACACCAGGTATGCTGTGCATCAGGATTAGCCAAGGTGAACAGCAAGCCCTGGGACTTGGAGAAAGTGTGGCTAACATGAGGTAACCTGTTGCCAGCTGTCAGTTCCCATTGCTTTGTTTGTTCTTCAGCTCCAAACCGGAACCTGAATTAGGTCATGGAAAATCCCTGGTGCACAGCTCCCTGGTGAGGGCACGGGTCCAGCACGGCACTGCTGCAGCATGCTGCTCAGGCAGCAAAGGGACTCCGTGGGGAAGGCAGATGCCTTTAAGCAGCTCCAGTGCAGGGCAGAATTCCAGACAGGTGCTGAATGTCGCAGAGCACCACGGAGTAAACCTGAGTCCTGAGGCACGGTTCCCTCCAAGCAGCCTTCGCCATGAACCTCCAGCAACAAACATACAGTTCTTCTGTATGTATTTTTAGAGGTTATTCTGTTGTTGACCAGCAGTTTAATGGCTGTAAACAACTCCCCTCCCCTCCCTGAGAGCTGGATACTACGCAGTAGCCCTGGAGGACTGACCCTTCCCAGCACAGACTGTTGCCCAATGATTTCTTGGTGCAGGTTCAGCTGGGCACCGTGCTTATGTCAACGTGCTGCTGTGTGCCAGCTGAGAGCTGCTCCATGTCAACGTGCAACTGCAAGCTTTCATGCATCACTTCAGCTTCCTGGATGCAGATTCCACATTTGGCAAAGATAAAAGCTGTTTTTACCGGAAAATAAATGACAGGCTTGTTGTTGGAGGAAATCAGCCGCAGCAGAGGTCTGGACTGTGACCCAGAGGCTGACAAGCACTGCAGACAGGCTGCCAAGAACAAAACAGAGCTGGGACTGGAAGTGCCTGGTGAGCAGCCCTGGAAATTAGGCTGATGGGAAAGCTGCTTTCTGATCACAGGCACTCTGATCACTGAATGGACTACAGAAATGCTACCAAGCAAGCATTAAGGTTTTGAACATAAAGAGCAAAAGAAGAGCTGGAAACAGTGGGAACAAGTAGAGCAGGTGGCAGAAAGCCTGAGACTTGTGCCAGGAGACTGTTCCATAATCCAGTCTTGCAGTTTGCTCGCTTAGAACAGCATGGGTGGCTCACCAGCCTTCTCACCAAGAAGCTGGATTTGACTAACAACCAGGTTCCTAAAGGATTCAAATGAGCTCCCGCTGCTGATCTGAAGCGACAGAGATCCATGCATTTGGCAGCTCAGTTCTTCATCTTGAAAGGCTGAAGGCCCGGCAAGGGACCGTTTTGGAGATTAGAACACAGTGCAAGAATTTATTTTCCCATTCAACTTGTGGCCAGTGGCTGCTCTGTGGCAACCAGCGGGCTGCTGGTTTTAATTCAGAGTTAGCATGTAAGAGACAGAGCACTTCCAGGAGGTGAGTGCTGCTGACGGCCCTGAGAAGCTGCCCAAGACCCCCACTGATAGAGGTGATGGGTGATGGGCTGCCTCCTCCTCACACCACAGTGCAGGCAGGACGAAGGGGCAGGAGCTGGGAGCTCTGGCACTCAGCCTTGTCCTGGTCAGGGTATTTTTAGCTTCTAGGAGAAGTTTGTTTTGGCAAAGGTTCTGCACTATCTTCACATCTAACCTACAGATTTATTGTAATACATAAATCCAATTTAAAAAATCCCACAACTAATAAACAGTTTTGAGCCCGGGGAACAGAAATTTATCAAGACCTTCTCCTGATCCCATTACGTACTGCTATCTCTCTATTACACACCAAGCTGGCCGTGTACTTTGTTTTCTTCATTCCTGAAATACACCCTTGCCCACCCAGCATCTGCAGTTTTCTCCAGCAGTACAATGGACAAGCAGCTGAAAGCAGAGCTCCCTGCAGTGCGGGCGTGGGGAGCATCAGGTATGAAACCAACCACTTCCTACCTTCCTGTGCTGGAACCCAGCAGCTTTCAACCAACTGGCTGCAAAGCCAGACAAGTTATCCCTTCGGTGCTTCTGGTGCAGCAGACTGCAATTTACCAGGAAGCAGCACATCCCTGCAATGAAACCACGGGTTCTCTGATGCAGAGTAACTCAACTGGGGAGCACAAGCTGACTGCAGAAGTTGGAGGCAAGTTCCAAAAACTTGATTCTGAAGTTAGCAGATTCGTGGTCCTGTGTTTGAGATTTCAGCCAGCTCCAGGTTCCTTGGCTCCAGTGCAAACCCAGTGACAGGCATGCCCTCAGCACGGCATGTTCACAGATCAGACTGATTATGCAGCAAAGCTAATGAAGTGTTCCATCTTTCAGCAAATAGCTGTACACATCACCCCAACTAAATCAGAACAAAAGCAGCCAAACTGGTCTATGTTTTATTGGGAAAACTGATGCCCAACTACAAAATATATTAAAATACACAAATAAGTTATTGTATGAAAAATAAATGCTTCACAGATACACCTCTGCCTTACATAAATACCTCACTTGCACTTGTATCCGATGCACCGTTCAAGAAGCCTCCCGTCCTCTGGCCTGCAGAAATAACATTTCTGACGCCTTAACTAACATCCAACCTTTGCTATTACCTCATTCTACAGCAGGGCAGGGAATGAACGAGATGCTTGTTGGCTTTGGTCCTACAGCCTGGAAACATCACCACTACACAACTGCTGTTCCCCTCTCTGGTTGTTTTAAGAAGACGCGACCCCTGAGCGCATTATCCTGAACAGCGTGTTGAAGTTGTTGCTTCTTATTGCATCCCGGCAGGCAGCGATCACCTGTGCCTTAGGTTTGCCAACTGTGAAGTGAAAAATAGAAAAAAATCAGTTAGAAGGAGAAAAAAATGCTGAACATAGGTATGGGGCTCAAAACGCAGGAGGCTCTCGGAACGTTTTTAAGCAAACAATGAAGTGCCAGCTTGCCTTCTTCTTAAAGTAGAGCCCTTTCTTGAAAGCAGTTTCCATAGCTCTATTACAAGGCAACTTGAAGGACTTGTTGAAAGGGGAAAGCTATGAATGTGCAACAAAATGCAGCCTTCCAAAGGCCGATAGAACCAGTAATAATAAAGACAGACGGCTTGGCTTATGTTGATAGCTCTTCTTTTTTTTATTATTTTTTTAACTGAGCTAGCTATAAATGAAGAACTGAAACAAAGCCATTCAGTTCTATACCACCCACAACACTGAAAACTGCTTTGAACTTTCTTCCCAAAACGCCGATCGCGTTCCCCACCATAAGCAATTGGCTGTCTGGGCAATCAAGGGCCACTTCTACCACTTAAGCAACCCAGGTGGTGTCTGAGGTATCTTATCAGCCTCACTGGGACCCCACACACACACTCACCACGTAACCGCCCGGCCCTCTGGATTGCTTGATTCACTGCTTTCAGATTGCTCAACAGCTCCGTGTGATTGTTGCAACGAATTTTGTACTGATTTATCAAATCCCTGTTCAGATCATACAGCTCGACGTACCGTGTCTTCATGTTTTTCCTGGGGGGACAATCAGCACAGTGAGCTGAATCTCTGGGGATATGACAGTAACTCCTGGCCTGCCCATAGGAAGGTGCAGCAATGCTCAGTTGTGAGGGCTGCCTCAGTTACCTGCATGTCTGTAGCTACAGCACTACACACCCATCCAGACATGTTGGTTAACCTCATTACTGAACAGGAAAAAAGAAAAAAAAAAGGTCTATTTTGTAGACTCTCTATGCAGATGCTGCATTCCCCAGTGGAAGTAAAACAGCCCGGCAGGATGCAGACCTCTTTACTGCTTGTCAGCCAGGGCAGGAAATGAGCAGAGCACAGGATGGCACAGCGAAGACCTGGAACTGAACGTTTCAGTCTTGGCATTCTCACAGGTACACACAACAGAGACAGCTTTCGGTTCCTCCTCCCCTTATTGTGTCCTTTCTAAGGTCTTACCTTCCCAAGGCCAGTTCAAGGCCAAAACCTGCACTCTTGCCTCCCCCAGGCTGGCTTCCCATTAAAAAACAGGGCAAGGCTTGATGACAGCTGATGGTGGAACCAAAGTACCACTCTGCTCAAAGAATTGTAACCGGGCATCCCTCCCACTACACAAATGCTTTTGTGCTTTTTTTCCTGCCTGAGAAGCAGAGACTGGCTGTTCTGCACCCAAAACACACAACGTGGCAACTGCTCACATGTCTCCCAGGAGCCGAGCATCTTCTGCCTGAACCAGCATGACACGGATGAGGTTGGAGTGGTCGGCCATGTCAGCAGTGAGCCGCTGATTCACCGAGTGGTGCTCATCCACCTGGCCAAGGCAAACATGAGAAAAGGCCTTCAGGCACTCTGGGCACAAAGGGAATTGTTTAAGCTACACCCCACCCCACTGTCATAGGAAATAACATTCCAGCTTAGTCAACCCAGGACCATCCTCCTTTCCCTCACCCCCCCCAGCTGCTGGAGCAGCACCTTTTACCCTACAAAACGATGCTCAGGATGAGATGCACACCTTACACCCTGGACCAGATCCACAGTTCAGTCTCCCACACAAAGTATTTACATTATTCTAAACAATTAGCTGCTGGGGACCAAAACCCTGTTCCATTTAACACACAGAACGTCGAGGATACCCCTCGTCCTTTGCACAGGATATTTAGCAAGTCACTGCTGGCTGATTTACATGAAGAAAAAGCAGTTTGGAGATGCTTAGTTTTTCCCTCTCATACCGATGCCCCCAGTTCTTTCTCACCTTTACCAGCACTTTCCGCAGCTCCTCAAAGTATGCAGGAAAATCTGCTTCCACCTGCAGATCTTCAATTGCCAGAAAGGAGGCCATGGACTGGATGATGTCACCAGCTAAATCAATATCATCCGTGCTGATACAGATCTGTCAGAAAGGACAAGGAAGCACTTACATGATGCTCTTCCATGCCAAAATATCTCCCAAGACGACTCAGCAGGGCTGCCTGGAGAACAGCTGCTTAGGCTCAAAGCAGTTTGTTCTAAGAGACAAGACTGCTGCAAGGACAAGCTCCAAGGCTTACTGGAGACGAGGAGACACTGATTTCAAAGGGGCTTTTACTCAGGTGTGGGGTAGAGGGGAATTTGTGCATACAAGGACAGCACAGAAGTTATGGGCAGTGTCTCAAACTGCAGCCTGTGAAACCACTCCATGTGGAACAAATGCCTTCCTGCTCATTTGTAGGATGAACAACTCGCTTTGTGGACTGGCACTGGAATTTTACCCACTAGCAGCAACACAGACTCCAACAGCCAAAAGACACCCCTGTAACTCAAGTATTCCTCTGCCTGTTCAGTCCTCCCTCATTTTCACAGCCCCACGTTGGAACCACCCTCAAGATTCGGTGATGTATAACTACATGGGCACTCCCCTGGCCTCTGAAGTTACTCACCTCTCCACCAGGCTTGATTTTGATGAGGAGCTGGCCTGCATTACGAAGGGAAGTAAAGCAAACCTGAAAGGGAGCACTCTGAAACTCCGCATCCTCTGGTAGCAAGAAGCTCTGATTCAGCCACATAATAATCTTGCAAAAAATAAAACAAAGAGCATCAGCCATCAGCTGCGTGTGAAGTCTGGAGAGCCATGCAATGGCCCTACATGCACACATGACACCAGGGCTCCGTTCAGGTTGTCCTGGGAGCTCCATTCACACAATTCATCTCTTAAATGAATGCCAGGAACTTGTTGAGATGGGAGCAGCTGGCTGCCTGCTTCCAAAGGATATTTGCAAGAAAATCAATTCTGACAATAGGAGACCACAGGCCAAAGGCCAAAAAGTAAGAACAGGCCCAGAGACAGGAGAAAGCTAGGAAGCAAAGCTGCATTCCACTTTAAGAATTTAAAGGAAAGTTTTCCTCAATCTTGCTTTTTTTTTTTTTTTTGCCTTGATCACTTAATAAGGGAAAAGTCATGCAGGCATGACAGAGCCCCACAGTTACGTGGAAGAGAGAGGCTCTCATCACTGCTATCTCACGATTCAGATCTTCCAGAACCAACACTGCAGCTCCACTGCCCACCTGCCAGGTACCTGAGCCATCCTCTGGGCACTGCGTTGCCTCTGTCCTGTTCTCTGCAGAACTCCAAAGGCCACAAGCACAGAATAATATTTCCTCTTGGAAATCTCAAGCTAAAACTGCAATCCCTCCGTGTGCTATGTATCAGCAGGACCAGGAAGCAGGCAGCAGAGCAAACACTCACCCTTTGTGGCCTCTCATTTGTTGCACAGCTCACAAAGCTCAGCGGCTCCGTGGCTGAGCCCGGGCTGCTCAGGGCATACATTGAAAAGCGGGGCAGCTGTCTGGTCAGCTCAAATACATAGAACTGTGTGCTGGAAGAATGCAAGAGGAAGAAGGATGGTTACTAACATCACAGTAACTCACCTCCTACAAGGGCTGCTGGGTCTGTTGTGGCTGAGTATTAACATCAGCAGCTCCCAGTGACAGAATCAACTGCTTAACACTGGTAAACAGCTGCAAGCTTTGGGAATTGGAAATTCCAGGCTTAACGCATCTCTGTATGAGGCTGAATGATTCCTCCCCATTGCCTACATTTTCCATAATCCTTCCAACAAAATAGATGCTTACATTTAAGATTTTACTACATAACTGGATCGTTTATTAACAGTTTTGGCAAAGTCCTTCTAAAAGCAGTAACAAAGAATAGAGGAAGCAAAAAGGGAATTCAGTTCCATACATTCTTTCTGCAGTGGTTGGCTCACACTCAGAACACAGCTCCCTGCTCAGGTGCTGCTTCCTGGGACACTGCCAGACACAATAGATGTGAGCAGGGAGAAAGATAGATGTATATGAAGAAGAAACTGGAAAAACATTGTCTTGAAAACAGGCATATACTACCAGGCCCAAAGTCAGACAGGCTCAGGGTCACTCTGTGGTCTGAAAGATGGCACAGTGCCTCCAGGTTTGCTCATGTACTATGGCCAGAGCTGCCAGCATCCAGGCCCCTAAGAGGCAGAGCCACAGCAAGGCATGCCCTGGACAAGAACCACTCACTGCTCCCTTAAAGGCAGAGCTGGAGCACAGCAGGACGCTGTGGCCTGAAGAGCCCAGTAGCACAGAGTAACAGTATGTTACACAAGAGAATATTCCAGCAATGAGAGAATTGAGGCATCAGGGAAGTAACGGTACCGTCCTGGTGGGACAAGAATGGAGCCACATCTCCAGTGTCTGCTGTCACACACTGTTAGCTGTGGAGACCAGGAGAGTTCACAGCACAAACCTCACCTGTTCCTGTAACCCACAAAGGCTTTGATGTGCAAATCCACAGGGACATCTTTGGGTGGAGTGAGGGGAACCCGAACGCAGCCCGAGAGGTTCTGGAGGCCGGGGTGTATGACGTGGCTCTCTCCTTCAAAGATGCCCTCAGCAAAGATCAGCACAGCACGGATGATGGTGTCTTAGCAACAAGGAGAAAAAACAGTTTCTCAATTAACAGCTGTCCTCCCGCAACAAGCCACCATGTTCTTCAGAGTTAAGCACGAGCAGCTCTCCTGAACTGTTAACGTGCTCCAGATGAGCAGCACTGCACCCAGCCTGCACCCTCAGCATGCCTGCTGCTGGGTGACTGCTGACCCGACTTGGTTCCTGCCCCAAGCTGAGGCCCAGCTGCATTCACACAATGTACCAACACAGCTTGCAGACACTGAACACAGCTGGAGCTCCAGGCTGCTGCAGTGCCCACACCCCATATCCCCTTTACCTGCATACTGCATAACCCACCCACAGGCAAGCAAGATTGGCCAGGAATTTCTGGGACAGGTGTCCTGCTGTTGCCTTGGTGGGCTGGGTTTAATTGCTTGGTTGCTTTTCATAACAAAAATGGATGTTTCTCCCTCTCTACAGACCGCTGCACTTAGAGGTGGGCACTTTGCTTTCACTGGGAAACAACAGTGCTCTTCATTAGTGTTTACAGTCAACACAAAGAGTGCTGCAGGGATCCCCAACACTCATTTCATCCAAGTGTTAACTGCCTTGGAAAACAAAACACAATGAGCAACAAATCCCACCCAACTCCCCTCTCTCAAAACCCATCAAAGGAGCACAGCTTGCCTCAAAACCGTGGAAGGAAAGCAGCCACAAAGGGGAAATTACAGACAGTGAAGGGAAGACAGGCAAATCATCAGCTAAATATAACTAAACGTTTGCATGAATTTACATGGAGGTAAGTGGTGGTGGTGGTTGCAGACTGCGGCTCACCATTGGTGGTGGAGATGCACAGCTCCACGTGAGCAGACTGGCTGTCAGAGCCCAGGTTAACGGACAGGGAGGTCTGCAGCTGGGTGTTGGCTGGAATCACACCTCTCTGCCCATCAGCTTCCTTCAGCTGTGGGCTCAGCTCAGCCTGTTCCAAAGCACAGAACCCTTCAGTATCACTACCTCCATTTTCACCATTTTTATTCTAGCAAGCTAAAAGATGTATGTTTTCAACTGTAAGCACAACTCTGTGTTTTTGCTGCTGTGCTCTTTCACTCTTTTAACATGAGCCTGCTTGTTCCTCAGACTGCTTTGCAAAGCCCTCTAATTCTGCACCTTCCCCGTGGAGCCACCAGCACACCTACAACTGCCAGTGCTCTTACACAGCCCCTCTGACTCCCAGGTTGGCTCAGGCTCTGAAAATGACCATTTTCAGACATAATTTAGTGCTGAACCAAAGCCCATTCTGTTCTCCAGCAGGCAGACGAGGCGAGGAGAATGTGACTTATTAAAGAGAAGCACGCCGTGCACTTGCACAAGGCACAAGCAGGAATCCCAAGCAAACAATCTCACTGCTGATTACAGGTTACAGTTCTGACTTGTCCAGACTGCCCCACGACCTCCACCCACCTTTATAGCAATGGGAAGCCAGGGCTTGGCCTCACAGACTGCATAAGTGGTACCTTTGCATTTTCCTCATAATTTCTTAATTCCAGCAGCAGGTTTTGCTTCTTTTGACTAAGTTCTCGGATCACGTCCTGCTCAGCACACGTATCCATCAGGTTTCCCTTCATCTCCTCACCTCCCGGCAGGTAGCCCCGGACTGCACAGGAACACACACACAGATCTGACACTTACACACACAACACGCTGCCCAGCAAGGACAAGAGACCCTCACAACTGCATACAGCCCCTTGGGCAGGCTTTGGATGGGGCTTATGTGCTGAATCCCAAGCG